GCTGGATTCAGCCCATGAGCCATAGTTGGCAGAACCCTGTCCTGGAGGATCTCTACTGAAGCAAAACTGAAGTCTCTGCTTTGAATGGAAGCGAGTGCTTTATGGATGGTCCCCCAAAGGTAATCTAACGCCTGGGGCAGCTCTGTGACTTGCCGAAGTTCTAAGGGCCTAGTGGCTAGTGGTCTGAGGGAAATCACATGTCCTTCATTGGTAGCATTCTCTTGAGGTGACACTTTGAGGCAAGGAGCAGAAACCTAGGCTAAAACACTCCTGTTGAAGTCTTGCTGGAAGTAGGAGCCTCACAACAACAAGGACATCCCAGCCAAAGGCATACAAACTCTCACATCTGGGGGGAAAAAAAAAGGAGGAATGCCTCAGATCTTCCCAGCCTCAGTCCCTTCTTCTCAAAGTCTAGCACAGGCTTCTCATTTTGCAGCCCTTGGCATGTCAGCAGTTGTCTGAGCAAGTGTGGAATGGTAGCAGGGTAGGAGCAGTTCTCCAGCATACACGTCTGGTGGTTCCCCATGACACGCGGAAGGTTACCTACTTGGGTAACTGAGTAGAGACTAGAATCCTCCCAATGTCCAGAAAAAGCAGACATCTGGGAAAGCAGAACATGTTACAGATAGCAGAAGCAAGGAAGCTGAGGAGAGAGAGAATGTCTGTGTGTGTGGACAGCCTAAGAGAAGGGGACTGCGTGTCTGAAGGCTGTCACCCAGCCCAGGTCACCCAGGAGCATGTTGCGTGAGGCAAACTCGTGAGATGAATTTCATACTTATGTGGTTAGCTGAGACCTGTTCGATAGGGGAGAAGTCCAGTAATATTTTGATTAATGACTTCCTTGAGGATGGAGCTCTTTTATACAAACAGCTCTATTGGAAAAAGACCTCAAGCCAAAATTCCTTCATAAATCATGCAAAAAATGGCTCCCTACACAACAGAAATGCAGTCTCTATTTGTCTTTGGTTAGATGCTGATGAATAGGGTTCGTCCTTAGCAAAGTTGTAACAGCTGAACTTTATCTTCGGCTGCATGTCTTTCTGCACCTTCCGTTTGGATCTATAGCCTCCAGGGCCCCCAATTTTAGTCACTGCAGAATGCAAGCGCACGTCTGCTCTCTTCATCTCTCCACTAACTTGGCTTTGGATGCCTTGGGAATGAAGGGGTCACCGCACACTATTATCAGTTCATTCCCCTTTTCTCATAATCCTCCCATACCCCCGATTCTTTGCTGCTAGGGGAGGAAGCTCACTGAGGTCTTTGGAGCCTCTGAGAGTGGAGGATGCTGTGTTGCATCTAATGCTTGTCGGATCCACAGCCAGTGTCCTGTAGCAGAGATCTGCTGTGTCCCTTTGTTCCTCTTACCTCCACCTGCACCTCTACCAACCTACCCAACCCTGACCACACACACGCCATATATCTATATTTATATATATATATGCATTAATAAATATATAAACATTAATATAAAGCATGCAATGTTTGGCATGTGTTTAATAAGCACTTAGTGATTCTTAACATCATGAATCATTTATCTGACCACCTGGACTATGTTCTTCTGCATTATCTATTTCTAGCTGTTGTTAAGTTGTGGCATGGGACCGACTCCATTCTCAGCACGTACTGTGAGGCTCAATGTGCATTTGCAGGCCAGGGTGGTTGAGGGACCACGTGCTCTCAATAAGTGCAAGGCCAACAGCAAAATGTGGTGGGTGGCAGTTGGAAAGACCAGAGGTGCATTTGGACTCCTGCTATTCACTAGCAGTAATTTTTGTTATTGAGGTGAAATTCAGACAACATAAAATTAAAGTGTATAGTTGAGTGGCATTTCGTGCATTCATGGTGGTTCTGCAAGTACCATCTTTATCAAGTTCTAAAACATTTTCATTGTCCCAAAACAAAACCCTGTACCTTAAGCAGTCACTCCTGGTTTCCTCTCCCTTAAGCCCCTGACAACCAATCAAATCGATAGATTTACTTATTCTGGGTGTTCCATATAAATGGAATCTTACAATATGTGACCCTTTGTGTTTGCCTTCTTTCACTTATCATGTTTTCAAGGTTCATTCATATTGTAGCCTGAATCAGTATTTCATTCCTTTTTATAACTGCACAATATGACATTGTGTGGATATACCACAATTTGTTTATCCATTCTTCTGTTGATGGACATTTGGGTTGTTTCTACCTTCTGACTTTTGTGAATAGAGTTGCTATGAACATTGGTATACAAGTATTTGTTTGAGTGTCTGTTTTCAGTTCTTTGGGGTATAAACCCACGACTGGAATTGCTGGGTCATATGGTTATTCTGTTTAACTTTTTGAGGAACAACCAAACTGTTTTCCACAGTAGCTGCACCATTTTACATCCCTACTGGCAGTGTTCAAGGGTTTCAACTTCACTACGTCCTTGTCAACACTGTTATTTTCCTTATTTTTGATTATAGCCATCCTAGTGAGCATGAAGTAGTCTCTTTGTGGTTTCAATTTGCATTTTTTTCTAATGACTAATGATGTTGAGCAACTTCTCATGTGCTTGTTGGTCATTTGTATATCTTTTTTGGAGAAATGTCTATTCAAGTTTTTTGCCCATTTTTAAATTGGGTTATTTGTCTTTTTGTTGTTGAGTTGTAAGAGTTTTTTACATATTCTGAATCCTAGACCTTTATCAGATGTATGATGTGCAAATATTTTCTCCCATTCTTTAGGTTGTCTTTTCACTTTATTGATAATAAAAGATATTAAGTATTTTGAACTGTATATGTCATATGGTGTCTATCACAAGATCACTCCAGGTAGTGTGTGTGTGTGTGTGTGTGAAGGGACACAGTTCTAAGACAGGGCACAGTGCATGGGGGGCCAGTAAGGAGGATACTTTCTTGAGGGCTTCAGGAATTCTTGGAACTGGGTGTAATTCTGGTTTTATAGTTTTATTTTTTGTTGGTACCTATCAAGAGGAAGTCCTGTAGTTAAGATTTAATTGATGGAATTAATTTTTCTGACTCAGATATAAATCCTCAATGCCCCTTACCACCTCAGTCCATTCTCTACAGGCATCCAGGTTATCTTTCAAAAATGGAAAACTGTCCACATCACTTGCTTCCATAAAATATTTAGTGGCTCTGTGTTGCTGTCAGACTTTGTTTATTTATGCCATAGGCATGTGTCCCAGGGACTGTGTTTGGTGCTGGAGTTACAGATGTAAGCAGGATGCTGTGATTTCTGATGGCCAGGTTTGAACTTCTCCATGGGTGTCATTTAAGATACTTTCAATCTGGACCCAACATTGTTTTTGTCTCTTTCCCACCCCCTAGACCGTAGTCACACCATCTCCCTAAAATTTCCTCTGTTGTCATCTCTTTATCTCCTTCTCTTCCTTCTGCACTTGGAAAGTCTTAGGTTGGAAAGTCCAGGATCTGGTGCATTTTTTCCTATGAAACCTTTTCCAATTAGAATGAATTTTTCCCTCTCTGGGCTATGCTAATACTTCCTCAAATTTGATTTCTATAGAATTATCAGTTTTGTTATAATAAACTGCCTCTGTGATCTGTCTGACCCAATATATTACTGCGCCTTGAGAGCAGAGACCAAGTCTTGAACCTCCAGGTCCTAGGCAGGGTACCTGGCACAGCTCACTAAAATTTTGGACTGATTGTTTTTTTGAATTACTTGCAAAACAGAGATACCTCATCTAACTGTATCATACAGCTGTTACAGGTACAAATAATATCATAGGTGTGGAAAATAAAATGCTGTGTAGACATAAGGTGGCACTATGCAGTACCATATGTATACATTCTAATTTCATACTGTTGATTTCTTGCTTCCTGAAAAAGTTCCCTGGTTAAATACTGATGTTGAACAGTAGACACCTACTGATAAACTTTGGGATTGAAACCAGGTTCAGAGCTGACCTTAGGCAACATTGTCTTTAGTGATTCCTGTTCCCCCCTTCCAGTTTTTACCTACCTTTTGACCCTCTTATCAGGGGCCAAATGCATTCATGTAATTCCTCTCACTATAGAGGCAATAATGTATTTTTATACCAACCTGGTAATATGTTCCTAACAAGTTCTTAAGAAACTGAACTGTTATTTTACATGAGGGAAAGGAACAATGATGAACCTAAAAAATCAATCACGTTTTGATATTGTACTATAATTATATAAGATGTAACCATTGGGGGAAGCTGGGTGAAGAGTACTAGGGTGCTCTCTGTACTGTCTTTTCAAATTACTATGTCTCTGTAACTATTTCAAAATAAAAAGTTTAAAGAAATCATCCATAATGGTAGATTTGTGTATGTCCTGAGCCTCGATGCTTTTGTAACTGGAGGTCCTTCCGTGGTCCCTTCATCTAATCCAAAGCAAATGCCTGAGGTCTATGAAAATGTTGAAGTAAAAGGAAGGCCATGCCCAACCACAGTCCACATTGGTGGAGCCTCCAAACCCACCCCTGACACCCCAGGCCCCTCCCCTCCTCCCTTCAGTCTCTGCTCCAACGTCAAGTTCCCAGACCTTCCTGCTAAAAGAGAAACACTACCACCCATACTATCCTATCCCCACTTTCCTGCTTTGTGTTTTCCTCGTGCACTTACCACATATAACTTACTACATTTTTTACTTTTTTATTTCAGTTTCTGTATTCTCCCACTAGAATGTAAGTTCCATGATGGCAAGGACTTTTTTTTTTAAATTTACTGTTGTGTCCTAATCGCCTAGAGCAGAATCTGGCCATTCGCTGATTTGTTCAATGAATGAATCTTTGTGGAAAATAAAAGCTTGAAAATAAGCTATTTCCCCGAGAGAGAGAGAAGTGATTCAAATCTGCTCATTCTTGTGTGAGAGCAAACCTGACTTTGAAGCTAAGACCTTTTTCCTGTGTTCATACTTCAGAAGAAAGATACTACTGATAATATCTGAGAGGAAGGAAGCAGTGCATTGTGCTGGGCCTCTGCATGTAACATTACATAAATTGTCTTTTTTTATAGACCAGCCTCCCAAACGGTTTCCAGAGATGGATTATCTTACTTTCTTCTTGGCTATTCTTCACGTATACAGAGGTAAAGATAATGTCTTCATTTAAAAAATTTACTTCTTTTTTGGTCTTATAGTGTGACGTGTTTAGAATTTATAATGTTTTTTAGCTGGCTCAGATAATTTCTCACTTGTTTAGGAAATCTACAAGTTACAAATACCTCTTATTGGCAGTGGAAACCTTTTTAGACTAAGGTAGAAACTGTTAGCCTTTAGCGTGATCTCAATTTGCTATCTTGTGAGGTCTTATAAAGCTTAGAATAAGCTTAAGGTATCTATTTGGTGTTTCAATCATCAAGCCTAACTGAATAAATGTGATGTTGTGTATTTCAGCTCTATGCGAAGAGATGTTTTGGGACACAACTGTTAAACTTGCTGAGAATATGAGTCTAGAGTGTATCTATTCATCACTGGACACCTTAACTCAGATGGAATGGCTCAAGATCAATACAACAAACAGAGAGCTCATAGCCATTTTCAGCCCTACCTATGGTTTGAGTGTAAGACCACCCTATACTGATAGGGTTTATTTTTTAAATTCCACCATGGCATCTAATGATATGACCCTGTCCTTTCATAACGTCTCTGAGGCCGATGTTGGCTTCTACTCCTGCTTTCTTTATACTTTCCCACATGGACATTGGGAAAAGGTGATCCAGGTGGTTGCATCAGGTGAGTGGATGTTTTATTTACCTTTTTACCCATCTACGACATTTGATTCTTAAAGCCCCAGTAGAAACTACAAAATGCTTTATCATGTGTTTGTGGTATTTTCCAATTTCACTTCTAGATCTTATGATATTATTGTTTTAAAGAAATAGTTCTGTGAATCAGTTTCATTTTTCTTAATGTGCTATCATTTGTGAATAGAATAAGCATCTGACAAATTTGAATGTAGTAGGAGAAAAGCCCAGGTTTTCTATCGTCTCAATAATGACTAGAGCATAGGGACGCCTGGGTGGCTCAGTCGGTTAAGTGTCTGCCTTCGGCTCAGGTCATGATCCTGGGGTCCTGGGATTGAGTTCCATTTTGGGCTCCTTGCTCTGTGGGGAGCCTGCTTCTCCCTCTGCCTTCCGCTCCCCCTGCTTGTGCTCTCTCTCTCTCACAAATAAATAAACTCTTAAAAAAATAATAATGACTAGAGCTTAGACTAAACTGATGTTGGCAGCGTTTGGGTTCAGGACCAGATACCTCCCCATCTGAGCTTCCTCCTGGTGATGGAGTACTGCTTCCTTCTGCTAAGCACTCAGTGCTGGCTTCAACCTCTGTGTGTTCAGAGCCCTCTCTGTAACCAAATCTAGATTTATTAGTGAATCTGGGCAGAGTTCATGCACTGGCTCCATTTTTTGCTTCATCCAAGTTCCTAAGAGAGGACACTTCAGAAACTGCAAGGTGTCATTTCAAGAAGGATCAAATGATCTCCTAGATATTTTCTGCTATGCCTACCAGGGACTATGGTTTGGTGCTTAGTGAGTTAGTCCTTCGAGTAATAGCCACATGGATTGGGTATGGTATATTGGAAAAACATGGTTTTTCTAGCCTTTACTTTCTGCAAAACCTTATGTTAGCTGCTCGATCCCTCTGTATCTCAGGCTTCTGAATAGTAAACTGAGTTAATAATACCATTCTCTTTGTTGAATGGCTTAGGGATCATATGGTTAAAGACCTATGGCAGTCAGGGGCTGGTGGGTGTTATTATTGTCACTATTATTATTCCCTACACTTTTGATACAAAATGACTAATGATGAAATTTTCAGATGTCAGCAATAGTCTAGGGAAGGAGATAGTTTGGAACCATGTGGAGTCTCTAAAATTGTATCCCAAATGGACATTCAGCAGAACACATTATGTGACATGTGCTAGAGTGCTTTCTTTTCAAGGGATATATATTATAAAAGGACAATTTACAATATTGCTAAGGGATAGCAAATAGTCAGAAGGTAAGGAAATTTCCCATGTGTTAGTTTTCTTTTTCTCTGTGGATGTAGCTAAGCTCAAAAATAGTTTTGTGTATATGACTGAGGCTTACAAAGTGTCTATTAGCAAAATCTCTTTAATGAAATATTTATTATTGAGTCCATTTTGTCATTGAACTCCTCATTCGCTGTTGGGTACAGTCACCTGTTGAGTGCTGTCTGCAAGTTTTTGGTGTATGGACCACTTTTGATTAGCCATGCAGATGAAGGAGAGGATTGGCAAGGGCCTTCGAGTAGAGTGAGCTATTCGACACCTGGCCTGAACAACCAAGGCAAGAACGAGATGGGACCCTTCACCCTTCATTTGGTGAGCTTTTGCAGCCTGGGTCCCAGATCAAGAATTCCAGTTTCTGCCAAAGAAAAACCGATGAAACATAGGTAGAATAATGGTCACCGGGCACAGGGAGGTGGGGAAATGGGGAGCTGTTGTCAAAGGGTACACAGTAACAGTTATGTGGGATGACTTCACCTAGAGATCTAATGCCCTGCATGAGGACTGCAGTTAATAATATTCCATTAGGGGCGCCTGGGTGGCTCAGTTGTTAAGCGTCTGCCTTTGGCTCAGGTCATGATCCCAGGTTCCTAGGATCGAGCCCCACATCGGGCTCCCTGCTTGGCGGGAGGCCTGCTTCTCCCTCTCCCACTCCTCCTGTTTGTGTTCCCTCTCTCGCTGTGTCTCTCTCTGTCAAATAAATAAATGAAATCTTTAAAAAATAAAAATAATACTGCATTAAACCCTGGACATTTCCTAAGGGAGTAGATTTCAGGTGCTCTCACCACAAAAGAAAAATGGTAACTATGTGAGAAGAAATGTAAATTAGCTTGATTATAGTAATTGTTTCAATATATATATATCAAATGATTGTATTGCATGCCTTAAGTATATACATTTTTAAAAAAGATTTTATTTATTTATTCAAGTGAGAGAGAGAGAGAGAGTGAGTGAGGGGAGGGGCAGAGAGAGAAGCAGGTTCCCTGCAAGCAAGCTTCCTGCTGATCAGGGAACCTGACCTGGGGCTCCAACCCAGGACCCTGAGATCATGACCTGAGCCGAAGGCAGACGCTTAACCAACTGAGCCACCCAGGCACCCTGAATATATACATTTTTAATTAAAAAAAAAACCCAAACAACAGGCAGTTTGACCTCTTCTGAAAGTTTAGGATAGAGGATAGAGCTAAATTGTTGGGAACTGAGTTATGCTTGCCATACCAAGGTAGGATTTTTAGCATTATATATGAGCAATTTTGGCAATATTTCTTGCTTTTATCATCCAGATTTATTGGTCCTATTATTTTCTTGAAGTTAGGCAAAGGGAGATCTTTGCCTTCTGGGGCCTTTTCAAATACAGTGGTACGATTTTCAGTCAGTTACGGGTCAAAGATAGGAGTGCCGTCTCTCCACATAGATGAATTCTTCATGATGGTATTCTTAAGTGTGTTTCATCATGATTGTTTTTGATCATTTATATTTTTAAGTAACAGATTGCAGTAATGGGCCAGTGAGAGTATTCCACTCATTTTCGAGACTTGGAGGAATTCCTTTTTTAAAAAAAAACTAAAAATGATAGTGAATTTAAAAAATATAGTAGCCATATTTCAAAGTTAACCTTACATATACTTGAAGTTTTCTGTGTGTGCTTTATTAACATTGTATCCGGACCTATAAGTATTGCACGCATGTGTAGCCTAAAGGGAGATTTGATGATCTATTTAATAATACAAGATTGGAGTTGGAATCCAGAAATCCTAATTTGTGTAAAAGTTTATAAGAACTTCAAAAGGATAAAGTAACTGAACCATATGCTCTCTAAATATACTGATTTCTCCTCTTTGCTGAGAGCTGACTATGTATGAGGAACTTGGTCAGTATCTTCTCATTTAACCCCGTTGCCCACTTGGATGTAGACATAATCTTGATTTTATAGGCAAGAACTTGAAGTGTGGTGAGGTCCAATATCTGGCCAAGTTCTCAGACCTTGTATGTGCCCCATTGGATAAAATTGCAGTGAGGAATGGAAAAGGACAGCTTGGGGGACATGGAGCTGCAGGGACTCTCAAATGAGAAGTCAACCATTGTACATCCTTGCTGCCCCACCCCCCACCTGGGGCTTTCAGCTCAGAGCTGGAGAGCAAATGGGACAGTCTTATGCTGAATAAACAGTGCTGTTAATGCAAATTTATGTTAAAAGATGATTAACATCACAGAAGCCTTTCTCAATTGGTAACTGATGTGGAGAACTTAATGGTAAGAATGGCTGCATTTATTTTACTGCTCCAAGGGAAAAGCAGCTGGGGTGGCTTGGGCGGGAACCTTCCAGAGGCAACCACTTCATGGCAGAGTTTGTGGTGGAAGTGGATCCTGCTGAAAATTACTGCAGCCCATGTCTCTGGCCTTACTAGTCCGTTCAAGTGAATGTAGTTACACTTATGGAAATGTACCCCCCAGATGGGTGGCCCACCCACACTACTCTACTACCTAACTTTCACCGGGTGCCTCCTGGGCATGAACCAAATGTCCTCTCCTCTAATGTTTGTGAAACACCATGGCGGAGGTAACGTGTTCCCATCGTGCAGCTGATGGAAGGGTTCAGGGTCATTACCCACCTGGAGGTTGTGAGCTGTCCAGTCGCAGCACCAGGGTGAGACCCTTCGATGTTTGTGAAGTGCCAGAAATGAGATGGAGGGGAGTTGGATTCAAACACAGTGAGCGGGGAGGCTCAAGGATCAAGTCACGCTGGATGTTGACAACATGGAAGGATTTTTCCCAAGATAGAGAGACAGATGAGGGAAGGAGAGAGTAGGGAGGGTGCAAGGAAAGGGTGACATCCACGCAGGGAGAGAGCACGGAGCTCCAGCAGGATGTGGTTCCTGCCCTGAGGTCTGTGGCCCCTTGCCGCCACGAGGGGTAACCCAATAGGAAGAAACAGGGGTGCCCGCACCAGCCAAGGGGCTCAGCACATGATGTGCTGGGGTCCCAAGTAAGGTTTTATGCGGTAGATTCTAAGTTGAAAAAAAGAAGTTGAAGCCCACTGGGGCAGCCCAATGTCACAAAGAGCCTGGGCAGTTTGGTTGGCTCAGATCTTGCTGTGCCTCATGGAGTCTGAACTTCACTCTGGGAAGACCGGGGGTAGCCACTGAACATTTTTCAGAGGGAGACACATACACCAATTTTTTTCACCACCTACAGGATTAAATTAGTTGTAGCTTATAGGAGGGGAAGAGTTTAAGGTCAGAGTAAACAAGTAATATTTTGTGGATTGGAACACTTATTCGCTGCTGGTAGAAGTATACATTAGTATATCTATCATATTATAGGTATTGGTAATATTCAGGATTCGCCTGAGAAACAGACCAATAGGACGTATATGTATACAGAAAGAGATTTATTACAAGGAATCAGCTCATTGATTATGGAGACTGGCAAGTGTGGGCCCATAGGCTGGAGTCCCAGGAAAGACAAAGGTGCAGATGAAGTCAGAAGGCTGTCTGCTGGAGATTTCCCTCTTGTCTGGGGAAGCGAGGCTTTTTGTTTTATTCAGACCTTCAACTGATTAGATGAGTCCCACTCACATTATAGAAGGCAATCTGCTTACTCAGAATTCACCAATTTAAATGTTAATCTCATCCAAATGTTTCAGTGAGTGGCACTAGAGAGGAAAAGAGGTTCCTTTAATATTGGGGACCCCAGAATTCAT